ACTTTTCCTGGGATGGAGTGGGGAACTGGCAGGTGATTCCATCCCGCTTTTGTCGGGATGAGAGGTCGGGAGGTGATTCCATCCCGCTTTTCCCGGGATGACAGGTCGGGAGATTATTCCATCCCGCTTTTGTCGGGATGAGAGGTCGGGAGGTGATTCCATCCCGCTTTTCCCGGGATGCAGAAGTGCCGGGAGGTGATTCCATCCCGCTTTTCCCGGGATGCAGAGGAGTCGGGAGGTGATTCCATCCCGCTTTTCCCGGGATGCAGAGGAGTCGGGAGGTGATTCCATCCCGCTTTTCCCGGGATGCAGAAGTGCCGGGAGGTGATTCCATCCCGCTTTTCCCGGGATGCAGAAGGAGCCGGAGCGCAGCCCGAGGTCGCCCTCGCGTGGTTTTGGTCGGGCAGGCGAGAGGGGACACGGAAAAATTGGGAATGGGGAGATGCTGGAGGGACTGGAAAACGGGTGAAATGCCAACCAAGCCTTTAAAAAGCGCTCGGGAGCTTTGTACAAACTCGGATCTGGAGGCTGCTCAGAGCCTGGGCGGGCAAATTGTGGCAGAGCCCGGCAGGGAAGGCAGAGCTCCAAGGATGCTCTGGCAGAGCTGGAGTCAACAGCAAATCCTGCATCCTCCCAAGCCATCATCCTGCTCTGAGGAGCTCCTGTGCCCATGAGGAGCAGTGTGGCAGCAGGAGCAGGCAGTGACTGTCCCCTGTGCTGGCACTGCTGGGGGACATCCAGTCCTGGGGACAATTTGGGACACTCATGGCAAGGAATTGAGGGGCTGAAGCATGTCCAGGGAAGGGAACAAAGCTGGGAAGGGGCTGGAGAATTTCTGAGGACCTGGGAAAGGGCTCAGCCTGGAGAAAAGGAGGCTCAGGGGGGACCTTGTGGCTCTACACAAGTCCCTGACAGGAGGGGACAGCCAGATGTCAGTTGGTTTATAACAGGTGACAGGAGAGCAAATGGCCTCAAATTGTGACAGGAGAGGTTTAGTTTGGATATCAGGGAAAAATTCTTCACCAAAATATTTGTCAGTCATTGGAACAGGCCCAAGGCAGTGGTGGAGTCCCCATGTCCCATCCCTGGAGGGATGTGCAGATGTGGCCCTTGGGAATGTGGGTCAGTGCTGGGGAACAGTTTGACTCATCTTTTCTTTTCCCTTTGTCTTTTCCAACCCAAATAACTCCAGAATTCTATAATTCCCTGTTCAGCACTGCAGCACAGGACCTTCAAAGCCTGTTTTCCAGAGCCTCCTTATCAACATACCTCATTAAACATTACCAATTGCTAAGCAAACATTCCTAATTGTCAAGTAAACACTGCTGACATATTTCACACAAATAAAGCTATCAAAAGCCTGGAAGGAAATTTCTCCTCTGGCAGATGCCTGTGGGGTATCCAGGCACTGTCTGTGAACAGGTGCACCTGTTTTACCCCTTGAAAACCACCTGATAAAATGAATTACCAGTCTCCTGTAAGCCTGGCAGCTGCCAGCACAGCAGAAAACATGTTCAAATTAATATTAGAGCTACGGGAAATTCATCTTCAGGGCTTCCAAAGCACTGAATCCACCCAGGGCTATGTAAGGAATCAGAGCTCAAGATGAACCTTCCCCATTCAATCTGAATGGAAACTATTGAATATATTGTTTCAAAATCTGTTTATACAGAACCTTGGGCACAGCTCAAACACTTTGGGCATTGAAGATATATTAGATCTGAATTTTCTCAATTGTTTTTGTAGCCAGAATTGTATTCACTTGCACATATATCTTACCTAAAGGGGTATCTACTCCCTCTATGAGTTTTATCTAGGTAGCAACAATTTATAAAGTAATTGCCTTTAGATAAGAGAATATATTTGTATTTTTTACATCAATTAATAGGTAAAATTCTGGCCTCACTGAAGTCAGCATGAATTTTGCTAACAAGTCTCTCTTCTAAGGCAGCTCAATCATGTCTTCCATAATTATACTCTCATTAAATCCTGTTACTCAGACAAGATTATTCTCATCTTATATAGTATGGAACAGAAATTCATATTATTTTCTTTCATCCTGGAAATACTTCAGGCCAGAGTGGACTGGTCTAGTGGAAGATGTCCCTGTTGGAGTTTCATAACCCTGCTTTCATTTGTGCATATTATCTCATTACCTCCCTGCCCTAGAGCCCTCCATCCTCCTGCTGGAACTCTCCTAAAAAACACTTGGAAAACTTCAGGAACATGAATATGAGTAAATGCAGCTCAGCTTGGAAGGGAGTTGCTGTTTCATGCAGGGTAGGGCTGATCCCTGCAGCAGCAGCAAGGAAGACAGAAAACTCCCTGAAGCACAAGCAGGGATGGCATAACCCACCCAAAAATGCTTTTCCACCACAAAGTCAATCCCAATTTTTTCCTCAGCCACACACCCTCCCTCATTAGAGACAGGAATATTCCCCCAGTAATTTCATACTGTAGTTCCTTTTGTAATGGCAATCCCTTCAAATTCTTAGCATTTACTTTTCAGAATGTTCATATCTTGAATAAAAAATGAAGCAACAACATCAATCAAACTAAAAATGCCGTGCACTTTCCCTTTGCAGATGCATCTGGCTGTTGTAAGTTTAGTGCTACTGATCTGGTAATTATTTTAACTGCTGCTTGGCTTCAGCCCTGTTGATATATTGGTTATTTTTATATATGGGAGGCCATTTGTGTGACTGATTTTGCAATTCATGCTGCCTGCTGGAGGACATCCCTAGAAACAGACCTCAGAGCTGTATTCTCAAGATGAAAGCAATTGGACAGAAGTACCTTGCTCAAAAGAGGGAACTCTATTACATTTATTTTTTTTTCCTCCTGAATTGCTTGCTCAAGCCAATTGGTTATGTGATTGGAAGAAATGAAACAGGGAAGAATTGATGGGATTCACAAGTCAGTGTGCAGCATTAAAGCTATTTCTTATCCTTAGCAAATGAGGAGTGTTGGATCAAATTCCAGTATATGGCCCAAATACAGTCCAAGGGAGAAAATGATTATGCTTATCATGCCAGCAGGGGTTGGGGGAGGTGAAAACAAGAGCATCAAAAAAAGCACAACCAAATTGCTCAGGGTTGTTATTTCAGGTTGCCAGTTGCTCAGGCTCCCTGCCCATGGAATAGAGATGCTGCAATAACTACAATTTCACAGATAACTTGCATTTTAGGGGTCAAGATAAAAGAAAAATCAGGAGCCAGGAAGGAAAATATCAAAGGCTGGCAAGAGAAAGAGGCTTTGGTAAGGAGGTTTGTGCAGCTGTTTCACACCCTCCTAAGGTATAAAGATATGACCAAAGGCATCAGTGAAATCAGAGATTTAAATTTATATAATCTGCATAATGAGGACTTACAATTCCTCAAGATTAAAGTCCAAGTGCTTGCCAAAAATCCAGACATGAGCACCCCTGGGGCTTGCAGACCTGGCTGAATTTGGTCTGTCGCAGTTTTGGGGGTGACAGGAGCTGTTCCTCTGTGATGCTGAATATTTCTGGCCTTCCTCAGTGAATGTGAACAAATGAACAGCTGCACTTCATCTGGGCAATATTTATTGATAATATTGCCTATTCTCAGCAGAGAGTCACAGCAGAGGCTTAAGGAAGAACAGAACATCTTACAGTGAAAGGTTTCTTAGCAATCCTTCATTTGCTGATCAGTGACTCGGAGATTTATTGAATCATATATAGAGATTACGTATTGAAATGACTTTTTAATTTTTTTAGCATGAATCTGCCCAAACACTTTGGGGTCCAGCTCCCAAACTGACCACCCAGAGGAAAGAGTGTCTCCTTTTTCTTAGTTTAATCTTGCCTTTTGTTTTCATCAGGTGCTCCCTAGCTGCTTAGAGAGGTCAGGAATCACAGATTGCTCTGCTATCCCAGGTGACATACAAATACTTCTGTTGTAATTTCTGTTCAGCTCACTGACTGCAACTATTTCTGTCAGATGTGGACCAAAGTAAACAATTTAGAAATTACAGTTGTTTTCCAAATCATAAAAAAAAAGGAGCCTTTTTTATGCCACCCATCTGGATGCACATGGTGCAACATCTGCAGCTCCGAGGGAAGGGCACTGGTTCTGAAAGGCACACACAAAATGCCACCCCAAAAAGGCTCTTTTATGTTGTTTTCCTGATTTCCAGACAAAGCTGAGTCCATAAAACAAGAGTAGGCTGTTCAGGTTGAAGGAGGTGTCCAAGGATGAGCGTGGCACTCAGTGCTGTGGGTTGGGTGACAAGGTGGGGATTAGGCATAGCAAAAATATACAAAAATCACCCAAAGAAACAACACAAAAACTCTGCCATCAATTATAGAATCGGTTTTCTCCATCCCCTCCCCCCACCAAAAAAAAAAGTTCTGTGGGGTGAATATTCACCATCAGTTTGCACTAAAATAAAGATAGATGCGATTCCCAGCAAACTGATTGGTTTATCAAATACGTCGTTTAAGCAACAGGTATTGGAATTCACTGTGGATTTTTGATACTGTGCCATTTTTGCTCAATTATCTACAGGTCCTAAAAAGAAGAAGGCATTTTCCTTCAAAATATACCAGGTTAAGTCACTTTACATTTTATTGTGAAATGGAACAGATGTATGGATTATTCTGCTCTGGGGCAGGGAAGAGAAGTCAGGATGGGCTGGTTCTTCCAGGGCATTTCTGACATTTTGCTTGAAAACCGCTGATCACAAAAAA